TGAGTCTGCAAATCTCACAGATTCCAGTTGTGTTCTGTCCTAATCACTGACCTCAGAATCCAGGATTATGATACGAACTCATCCGGGATTGTGATACATGCTGGATTTATGTCACCAAGTTTTGGATTGACTTGTAATGGAATAGTAACCAGTGTCCTGAAACACTCTGTAGACGAGGCTGGCCTCAAATCACAGAGATTCGCCTGCTTCTGCCTCTCCATTGCTGGGATTAAAGGTGTGCACCACCACTACCCTGCTACATATTTTCAAAAACTGTGCATTTCTAAGAGATAGAATTTCAGGGTATGAAGGATACATACATACCTAACTCCAACAGATATTACTAAATTTTCTTTCAAAGTTTTGTCAACTTACAGGCCACCAGTAATGACTGAGAGTAACGGTCAGAGAGGGTTACTCATGATCTTCCTACCAAGCTTATTTGCTATGGGCAACAGGAAAATATAAGAACTCAGCTGGTTATGGCAAAGTCACTACCTGGAGGCATCAGGGAATTCCTCCAGAGGAAGCCAAAGTCCAAGGAGCTTTTAGTGTTATTTGGCTTGTTATATATCAGCTGTCTTCTGTTATGAAGATCATGCGTGCCTTCATAGTTTTCCCAATTGACTTTTCCCTAAGAAGGGCTAACAATGTGGACTGATCACTCTCTGGACATACACATTCAAGATATTTGGAGAACAGCCCCAGGAAAGGCTTCCTCCCCCCCAGCCCATCCATTTCTCCCCTTTCAGCACTGGAATCAGATATCTCCCTTAGCTACATTCTAGAACAGAAATAACAGTCCAAACCACCACATAAGTCTTCAGATTCAAGGTAAATTTCACAAGGAGACACCGCCTAGGTCAGGTGGACCTTAAGTAATAGCTTTGCACAATTTAGCTCGGACCCTCCTTTCTTACAGCCTTACTAACTTTATAGACCCGTAACTTCTTACCTAACCACTCCTAGGAATATAGATTGAGCACATGAATTCCCTTTTTGATATAAACTTGATATTAGCTCTCAGCTGACCTCCTCCCTTAACCACTCCATTTTCAGGTCATAAAAGAAAGCCTGACAATCACTGCCTGGGGAAACTCTTACCTGCCTTCATGACCTTGCAGGAATTCAGGCCTGGTGACCTGGCTGGAGGGGAGGATTGTGATTGTTTGGGTATATAACTGTAAAGCTAGAAACTGAAGGAGGAATTAGTGAATGGACTAAAGAGCTCGGTGTGCTCAGATTCTATTTTCCCGAAAATACTCCTCGCCGTCCGTAGTTTCTCTCCTGAGGCCCTGGGCTGTATAATATTAAGGCTGGTCCTCCAATATTATACAAGACTTATTAGGTGAAAGTAGGTATTGAAAGCAATTATAGCAAATGGTCTAAGAAATAGGGGTGGCTTTGGCGGCAACAAGAAAAACATTAAAATACATGCTTTAGTATCTTGAAAAACCGTTAAGTGGGAGAAAGTGGGAATGTTAACTTATTGGTCGTTTTGGGAAACAAAACAAAACCGGTGATGCATTCTACTCTTTGCGGGTGTGTGAGGTGCTAACAGTGTATCTATTCTACTGAGGATTACCCAGTGGGTAAAAGAGCTAGGGCCTAAGGCTAGTAGTCTCTTCCCTTTCCTAGACCAACCTAGGTTGTAAGCTTCCTTTTCAGTCCTTACACCTGCATCTTGCTAGGTAACAAGTGAAAATGCATCTCGATGAATCTCTTTCTCGATTAAAATATTTACACTTGAGCCTACACCAAGCATCTTCTCTTATCCTGGAAATATAGACATCAACGCAGGGGCCACTCGCCTACAATACTCCCTGGTCGAGTCCTAGAACAAATTAAACCGGATACACGGAGTAAATCGCTGTCGACAAGGCTCGAAGCCCAAAGGCCCTCCCTGGGCAGGAGCACGGACTGACCCTTCAAGTCAGTATTTGCTTAGTGCCCGCGTTGTCAACCTTGGATTTCACTGCCAACAGCATCCCCTTTAAGGAAAATAACGGCAGTTGCCTTACCCGCCGACCACCCTTTGGTTTTGCCAAGTTTTCAGCTTGGTCCAGTAACGAAACGGAAGAACAGGAACTTACCTGCTGCTCACAACGCAGCCCTGGTTTCCCCCACTTGGAGAGGCAGAGGAGGCTGAGCGTCGCGGGGGGAACCCTTGGGGACACCAGTACTGGAAAAATCTGGACAGGGGTTCACAGGAGGCTTACCGAAGGCTAAAAAGTTGACCAAACGTCCAGGTTCCCAAACCTGATGCCGTGTGCGAACAGCCTTTTCCGCTGAAAGTGTGGGTGGCTCTGAAAAGAGCCTTTGGGTTGCGGTGCGGTCCGCCGCTCACTTGGAGCTGGTGTACTTGGTGACGGCCTTGGTGCCCTCGGACACGGCGTGCTTGGCCAGCTCCCCGGGCAGCAGCAGGCGCACGGCCGTCTGGATCTCCCGGGACGTGATGGTCGAGCGCTTGTTGTAGTGCGCCAGGCGCGACGCCTCGCCCGCGATGCGCTCGAAGATGTCGTTGACGAACGAGTTCATGATGCCCATGGCCTTGGACGAGATGCCCGTGTCGGGGTGCACCTGCTTCAGCACCTTGTACACGTACACCGAGTAGCTCTCCTTGCGGCTGCGCTTGCGCTTCTTGCCGTCCTTCTTCTGCGCCTTGGTCACGGCCTTCTTGGAGCCCTTCTTCGGGGCGGGAGCGGACTTCACCGGCTCAGGCATGGTGAGGCAGCAACTACAGGAACTGTGGCACCGAGTCGGCCGGGATCTTCCCTTTTTATAAGGCGTTATTCAAATGAGGCTTGGAGAAGAACACTTCTGATTGAGTGCTATTTCGATGATGTCATCCGGAGGCTTGCCCAATCGAAGTGTGCATGCCGGCACCAACGCTTCTCATTGGTGTAAATGAAAGGCAGAAGTCAGCCAATCGCACGGGTTCTTTTTCGCGCCCAGAGAAGACTATAAGGCCCAAGCTCTAGCAGTCCCGGTTCACCCAGTTGCTAACGGCTGCTGAGACTTCACCATGTCTGGACGCGGCAAGCAGGGCGGCAAGGCTCGCGCCAAGGCCAAGACCCGCTCGTCCCGGGCCGGCCTGCAGTTCCCCGTGGGCCGCGTGCACCGGCTGCTCCGCAAGGGCAACTACTCGGAGCGGGTGGGCGCCGGCGCCCCGGTCTACCTGGCGGCCGTGCTGGAGTACCTGACGGCCGAGATCCTGGAGCTGGCTGGCAACGCGGCCCGCGACAACAAGAAGACGCGCATCATCCCGCGCCACCTGCAGCTGGCCATCCGCAACGACGAGGAGCTCAACAAGCTGCTGGGCCGCGTCACCATCGCGCAGGGCGGCGTCCTGCCCAACATCCAGGCGGTGCTGCTGCCCAAGAAGACCGAGAGCCACCACAAGGCCAAGGGGAAATGAGTCACTGAAAACAAACTAATAGCTAAGCCAAAGGCTCTTTTCAGAGCCATCCACAGTGTCTTTTAAAGCGCTGGACACTTGCACAAGACAGTGGCATTTTCCTTACAACTAAAGTGCTCCTAACCCAACCTTTGATTTATGTCCCGGTCGAGTGTTGAGTCGTATATGGACCTGTGTTTAGAAACAAGTTTTGAGCCATCTAGGTTTTTTTCCCTGAAAGCTTTATTTTAGCACCAGTCATTACACAAGAAAATTACATCTATAACTGCGGGGTTATTAATGACAATCTCCTGGTAGTCACTCAGATGGACACTTTCATTTTCAAATTCACGAGCTGGACTTCCTCTATTTTGTCTTCCGAGCAGGTTTCAGTGTGTAGCCCTGGCTGTCCTAAAGACATCCTCCTGCCTCAGCCCCTGGAGTGCCGGCCACCGCGCCTGCAGATCCGGTTTCTCTGTAGCCAGGGCTGAGACCAAACTGGCCCGGTTCTGCCTCGCAGGTCCGGGATCACAGGTGTGCGCCGCAGCCCTGCTGTGTAGTCCAAATACATACATGCGTACATACAAACATATATATATACATTTCTGGCATTAAATTATTCCGTCCTTAAATTTATATCTTTAGCCGGGCGGGTGTAGCGCACGCTTTTAATCCCAGCACTCGGGAAGCAGAGCCAGGGGGATCTCTGTGAGTTCGAGGCCAGCCTGGGCTACCAAGTGAGCTCCAGGAAAGGCGCAAAGCTACACAGAGAAACCCTGTCTCGAAAAACCTGGAAAAAAAAAAGTATATCTTTGAAGTTAAAAGGCATGGTCTTGCCCAAATAGTGGAAAGAACATGAATGTAAGTGCTACAATGTTTCCCTCTGTATATTCTCTAATACATTTTGTTTTATGAGGACACGGTAGGGATCACATTAAAGGAAAACGGTAACAAGCTCTTTAAAAACTCTCAGACGCTGCGAGTGCTCACCTGACTCTTCAAGCAGTACTAAAGGAAAACGTTAAGTGTGGGGAGATGAGGAAATTAGACGGAATTTCCATGTACAATCCGTAGCGTTCGAATTGCGCGGAGGGCCCCTCCCCCTAGCCACCAGCAGTTCCCGCCACTGCGCTTCCTGTTTTCACTCCGGTCCGCGAGTTCCCTATAAGACAGAACTGCTGCTCCGGCTATGGCATCAGTCGGATTCCTTTCCCTCTGTAGTTATGTCTGGTCGCGGCAAAGGCGGGAAGGGCCTGGGCAAGGGCGGCGCCAAGCGCCACCGCAAAGTCCTGCGCGACAACATCCAGGGCATCACCAAGCCCGCCATCCGCCGCCTGGCCCGGCGCGGCGGCGTCAAGCGCATCTCCGGCCTCATCTACGAGGAGACCCGCGGGGTGCTGAAGGTCTTCCTGGAGAACGTGATCCGCGACGCCGTCACCTACACGGAGCACGCCAAGCGCAAGACCGTCACGGCCATGGACGTGGTCTACGCGCTCAAGCGCCAGGGACGCACGCTCTACGGCTTCGGCGGCTGAGCTGCTCCGCCTCCCGCTTCTTTCTCTAACGGCCCTTTTCAGGGCCACCCACTTCATCTTCTAAAGACTGCAACATTGCTTTCTAAGCTCCCGACGTCAGGCTTTTGTGCGGCACGCGGCTCTGTCGCCTGCGGACTGCATCCCTCGTTCAGCGCCTCCCGTGCTCGGGTGTGCGGTTTGCATCTCCCGTCTTTAGTGAAGTTCAATGTCAAGGTGCCCGGGACAGTTAGGCCTGGGAGTGGTGGGTGCTCTGCCCGCTCGGGGTACAAATGCACTTTCTCTACTGTTGGTTCTGTCTGCTGCTGTCTGAAATAGCTGAGCTTTTCCGCTGCTCCCTGGCAAATCTTTCCTGCTTTGGAATTCTTTAGTTGGCAGAGGAAACGAGCCCACCCAGACCGTTCGGCATGGCTGCGTAGTTGGAGAGATTCTATGTTGGGGTCGAACAGCTCGCCTCACTTTGTCCGTGTGTGGGGGATGGAAAGGGAGGTCTGTGCAGTGCTCAAGCTGGTGACGTCGCCTTACGCTACACTAGACGCCAAGGTCTGTGCCTTTGGCATTTCCTCCTTCACTGGCTCCCATGTTCACCATGCAGCCACATTCCTGTGCTTCCCTGCAGTGGTGTCATGGGTAACACATCTGAGATCATAACTTATTTGTTCTTCCTGTGGTGCCTGGTTTACATTGGTATTTTATTCTGATTTTGGTTTGTTGTAAAGTCTTATTTCCTTCTTAGATGAAAGTGTAATCTTGTATATAGTAAGTGCCACATTTTAAAGAAATCCATTTATCCTAGTAATAGATTGACTTCATGGGAGCTTTTAACCTTAAATTACTATGTAAATGAGTAAATACTATTACTCATTTTTATGCTTAGCATAAAAAGGATTCCTTCCTGGTGATGAGTGTCTTCGGTGCTTAGTGGAAAAGGAGGAATTACTGTAACATGGATGAGATACAGCTAAAGGACAAAGTCTGTAGTCATGGGATGCAGATGTATTTATTTGGACAGAAAACTGTGGTATAGCCAGATTTTGCTCGCTTAAAGATCAAATTTTGGTTTTTGTATGTAGGGGCTCTGGAGACTAAATCCAGGTTCATGTAGACAACAGTCTCACATCATCTTTTTGAGACCGGGTTTGTTTGCCCAGGCTGGCCCTGAACTTGTGATATACTGCCGCTGTCTCTGTAGGGAATGGGATTGCAGACACGTCTTATCAGGTCAGGTTCCAGAGCTGGCTGATTATTTCCATCCAGCAGTTAGATCAGAAGCTCTGGGTGGCCCATTCCAGATACAACTTGTTAGCATTTTACACCGATTGCTGGTCTGTCCTTGGGGCCTTTTCGGATTCAGAGACGTCTTCTTAGCACTGTTAGTGTTTCCTGAGTTCTAAAACTCAATACCTATGGAACCCTTAGACTCCAGACTCTGTTTGAATTCAATCCCTTGGAGATCTCATCCACTTGGTGCTGGGTCCCTAAACAGCATCTGTCATTAATGACTTCTAACTTTCTATCTCTTCTTTTTCTTTCTTTCTTTTCTCTTTCTCTTCTTGTTTTGTTTTGTTTTTCAAGATTGGTTTTACTGTGTAACAGCCCTAGCTGTCCTGGAACTTGCTCTGTAGACCAGACTGGCCTCAAACTCAGAGATCTGCCTGCCTCTGCCTCCCAAGGGATTAAATGTGTGGGCCTTGACCACCCAGCTTAATTTTATATCTCTAGTTGAAGTGTTCTTCCATAACTTCTGAAATGCACAACTCCCTCCTCTTCACAAACACTGTTTTAAGGGTTTTTTTTTTTTTTTTTTTTTTTTTTTTTGGTTCTATTCTTTAAAAAGACAGGTTCTCTTATATATCCTTGGCTCTCCTTGAACTCATTTTGATTTTGAGAATGGGTTTGAACTAGGATCCAGCTGCCTCCTTCCTTCACCTCCAGAATGCTGGGATTGTAGGTATGTGTAATCCCAATCATGCAGCGGTTGGAACTAAATCCAGGCCTTCTTGCATTCTAGGCAAACACTTTACCGACTATACCAACTGAGACACAACCTCAGACCCATAAATGTTTAATGAACAAGTCAGGCTAACACATCAAATATACAAACACTAATATTTTCTCAGTAGTTTATTGTTGGTTCAGACAGGGTTGCTATTGCTGTGATTGAGAAGCCCAGGCCCTTACCCAGACGCCTGTCTTGGCTAATCCCACTGCCATGACAGGCTGCAGAAAAAAAACCCTCACTCAGCAGGATGTGCCTTTGAGGCCCTGACCTGAGCTTGGCCCTAGTTATTAAAAAAACCAAAAACAAAAGCAAAAAACAAAACAAAAAACCCCACTAGGTGTCCCTACATGGTAAAGAACCAATTAAAAGTTAAACTTAGCAGGCTCTGGACTCGCTTTCAATGATAAAGACGGAATACTGTAACCCCAGCGACTGCTGCAGGATGTAGCTACTTTGCTGCAACTGTAACCACTTAGCCAGGGCCGGGCACCTCCAGCCTGAAGGTGCGCCAATCCTGAGTCCGTTCCTGTGCAGCTGGGGCCCCTTAGACCCGCCCTTGCTTTACCCTTTAACAACCCTGTCACACTGTTACTCTGGGTCACACTGTTACTCTGGGTCACACTGTTACTCTGGATCACACTGTTACTCTGGGTCACACTGTTACTCTGGGTCACACGTTACTCCTGGTCACACTGTTACTCTGGGTCACACTGTTACTCCTGGTCACACTGTTACTCCGGGTCACACTGTTACTCCGGGTCACACTGTTACTCTGGGTCTCACTGTTACTCCGGGTCTCTTCCCTCTTTGCTGCATCAGAGGGACGAGGACCCAGGTTCCTTACTCAAAATTAAAAGACTATGCTTTTGCATCTGACCTGGTTTCCTGGTGGACTTCGGGGGTCTGGACTCTGGGCACAACATGATGAGCACCATGACCAAAGCAGCTTGGGGAAGAAAGGACTTATTTGGCTCACACATCCACAAACTCCAGGGCCACACGCTTAATGGCTTTGGGGGCTTAGGTAGTCGGTTTTTTTTTTTTTTTTTTTTCCTATTTCTTCTCGTCTATGAAGGCCCTTGTCAGGGCCACCACATCTTTCAAAAAGAGTCACTGTGACCCATATACGTTGCTCTGTGTAGTGAATGGCCATGGTGTTGTATTATTTTTGCCTTGTTACTAATTGGAATTCTCGGGCACTAGTCTATTGTACAATAGCCAATTATTTCTATTATGCCTTAGTCCCTCACTTGCCTTAGGCTGGGTTCAAAAGGGTAACGTGCATATAAAAAAGTTTATACTTTCTATCTCATGTTTCAAATAAATACTAACCCAGTATAAACTTTCATTTTCTTGTAATCCCAGCACAGAGAGGCAGGTGGATCTGAGCCTGGTCTATAGAGCGAATTCCAGGACAACCAGGGATATGCACAGAAACCGTCTTTGAAAAACAAAATAAAACACACACCTACACAGAACTTTATTTTCATCGGTGGTGTTATGTGTGGTGATATATTGTGTACCCTAATAAAGCTTACCTGAGGATCAGAGAACAGAACAAGTCACTAGCTTAAACATAGAGGTCAGGCAGTGGTGGCACACACCTTTAATCCTAGCACTCTGGAGGCAGAGATCCATCTGTATCTCTGTGAGTTCAAAGCCACCCTGGGCTACATGAGATTGATTCAGTCTAGAAGAGAAACAGAGCCAGGCAGTGGTGGCACACACCTTCAATCCCAGCACTTGAGATCTCACACCTTTAATCCCAGCACTTGAGATCTCATGCCTTTACTTGGAAAGCACATATGCATTTAATGCCAGGAAGTAATATAGCAGGGTAAAAAAAAGGTATATAAGACATGAGGAAACAGGAACTAGAGGCTTTTTCTGGCTGAGTCTTTCAGGTGAGGACTCAGAGGCTTTCAGAGTCGGCTGAGGAGTTGGTGAGGTGAGGTCGGCTGTGGCTTGTTCTGCTTCTCTGATCCTCAGGCAAGCACCTTTTTTAGGGAACACAATATATCACCACAGTTATGGGGCAGAATTCAAACTTCCCAAGGTTTTGAGTCCAGTCTTTTCTTCTTCAGTTCTAATTCCAGGGAAACCCAGTGAACTGTGGGACACTTTTCAAGCATGGGCTACATAATTTAAATGCCACTTTAATATTTAAGAAGGTAAGCTTAGGCTGGACATGGCCCATACCTTTAATCCCATCATTCCAGTAGCAGGTAGATTCCTTGAGTTCCAGCCTAGCTTTGTCTACATGGTGAATTTCAAGCCAGTGAGGGATGCATAGGAAGACTTTGTCTCCAAAAATAAACTGTAGACAAATTTCTAAAAGCCAAATGCAGGGGTGAAAGCTGTAGAGATCAGAGAAATAGTGAGAGCCACCAACTAACCTTAGGTCACCACACTGCCATAGCTTCCCAAGAGAACTAACTTTTTCCTGTCTAACCTGCGCCTTTATTGCCTTGCCTTCTCATTGGCTCTAAGCCCAGCCACCTCACTTCCTCATCACTGCCTGTCTGTACAGACCTCCAGGTCTTTATGGTTGTTACTGGGATTAAAGGCATGTGTCACCATACTTGGCTGTGTCCTTGAACTCACAGACTCTGTCTGGTAAGTGATCATATTAAAGGCATGTGCTACCACTGCCTGATTTTTGTATATGGCTGGCTATGATCTCTAATCTCCAGATTTTATTTATTAATAAGTTTTATTTATTAATAAATTTTATTTATTAACATACAAATAAAATATCACCACAATAAACAAATCCAATCAACCCCCCCCCCCCAACAACAACCTCTGCACTCAGGAGGCAGAGGCAGGTGGATCTATGGGTTCAAGGCCAGCCTGGTCTACATATCAAGTTCCAGCACAGCTGGAGTTAAGTAACAATAAAATACCCTGTCTTAAGACAAAAGAAAGAAAAGGAATCTAGAGCTTCCTTATGCTTATTTTCTGATGTAATAAAACATTAAACTGATATAACTAAAGAAAATGTAAGATTATTTTATTTTCTGTTAGCTGGGCCTGGTGGTGCACCTCTTTAATGTCGTTAACATCAGCACTCAGAAGGCCCAGCAGGCAGATCTCCGAATGAGAGGTCTAGGAGTGAGTGTCAGGATAGCCAAGACAAAGTAGAGTCCCTGTCTCAACACAGACTTCTTTTTATTCAAGTGTATCTACACACAGGTGTCCATGGAGACGAGACAGGGGTGTCAGACCCCTGAAGGCTGGAGTTGCAGGAGGTCATGAGCACCTGACAGGGGCCCTGGGAACTGCTCCGGTATTAGTGAGTGCTCTTAACACTGAGCCAGCTCTCCAGGCCCCTAATAGAACAACATTATTTTTTTCACCTTTTCCAATTCAAAGACCACATTTTGAGTGCTGGGCAGTGGTGGCGCAAGCCTTTAACCCCAGCACTCGGGAGGCAGAGCCAGGCAGATCTCTGTGAGTTCGAGGCCAGCCTGGTTTCCATAGCGAGTTCCAGGAAAGGCGCAAAGCTACACAGAGAAACCCTGACTCGAAAAATAAAACAAAAAACAAAACAAGACAAGACCACATTTTGAAATAATGGAACTATTAAAGTATTAGTTATATCTCATAGGTCAGGCCAGCATCCTGAACCCCAGGAAAGAGTACCCCCCACCCTGCCCATGCTCAACATGCGTCACCCCAACCACCCCCTCTCCCTGTCACCGTATCCTGGCAAACTACTCTGGCAGAAGCCTCCTATCCAACCAGAGCCTGGCCGCCTCCCTGAAAACCAGGAAAGTCAACCAGACAGAACTCTACCCATTAATCTGGTCAGGAACCCCCTGCTGGATCAGAGGCCATCCAGGCCATCAGAAGTCCAGTCTCCAACTCTGGTGGAGACCATCTACGCAACCGCAGGCCACTGCAGGCACAAGACCAGAGAGGAAACAGAAATGAAGGAAGAAAACACATGTCCAACAAAGACAAATCCAGAAACCAGCACCTTGACCTGTAATCGCCCCAAATCCAGATGCCTAGATGCCGATGTAAGAACACAATCAACATCAGCCAGGGCAATCTGTCACTACCACAGCCCAGCTAGCCTAATCCAGCAACCCTTGAATATTCCAATGCAGCAAAAGCACAAGAAAACAACCTTAAAACCAACATTATGAAGCTGATAGAGGTCCTTAAAGAAGACATGAATAAATCCCTTAAAGAAACCGAGGAAAAGACAATAAAAGATCAAAGTGAATCAATAAATTCCTTAAAGAATGTCAAGAAAAATCAGTTAAAGAAAATGAGTGGCCGGTGGCGGTGGTGCACGCCTTTAATCCCAGCACTTGGGAGGCAGAGGCAGGTGGATCTCTGTGGGTTCGAGGCCAGCCTGGGCTACAGAGCAAGATCCAGGAAAGGCGCAAAGCTACACAGAGAAACCCTGTCTTGAAAAACCACCACCACCACCACCACCACCACCACCACCAACAACAACAACATTTGAAAAAAAGAAAAAAAAAGAAAGAGAGAAAGAAAAGAAAATGAGCAAAACTGTTCAAGACCTAAAAATGGAAATAGAAGCAATAAAGAAAACACAAATTGAGAGAATTCTGGAAATGGAAACTCTAGGTAAGTAAAACAGGAACTACAGACCCAAATATCACCAATACAATACAAGAGATGGAATAGAGAATCTCAGACACTGAAGACAAGATAGAAAAAATAGATACACCAGTCAGAGTAAATGTTAAATCTAAAAAATTCCTAACATAAAATATCCAGGAAACCTGGGATGCTATGAAAAGACAAAACCTAAGAATAATAGGAATAGAAGGAGAAGATTCCCAGCTCAAAGGCCCAGAAAACATTTTTAACAAAATTATAGAAGAAAAATTTCCTAGCATAAAGGCCATGCCTATAAAGGTACAAGAAACACACAGAATGCCAAATAGACTGGACCAGAAAACAAGGTCCCCTCACCACGTAATAATCAAAACACTAAACACAGAACAAAGAAAGAATATCAAAAGTTGCAAGAGAAAAAGGCCAAGTAACATATAAAGGCAGACCTATTAGAATTACAACTGGCATCTCAATGGAGACTAAAAGCCAGAAGGACTGAAGCGATGTGCTGCAGACTCCAAGAGACTACAGATGCCATTCCAGACTATTATACCTAGCAAAACTTTCAATCACAGTAGATAGAGAAAATAAGATATTCCATGATAAAGTTGAATTTTAGCAATGTCTGTCCATAAATCCAGCCATATAGAAGGAAGGGCTCCAACCCAAGGAAATTAACTACACCCAGGAAAAAAACGCATACAATGGATAATCTCACACTAGCAAAACACACACACACACACACACACACACACAGAGCCATCACCAATTACAACAAAATAGCAGGAATTAACAGTCATTGGTCATTGATACCTCTCAATATCAATGGACTCAATTCCCCATTAAAAAGACACACATGAACAGAATGGATGGGAAAACAAGATCCATCCTACTGCTGCATACAAGAACCATACCTCACTGGGTAGTGGTGCCATGTGCCTTTAATCTCAGCACTCAGGGAGATGGAGGCAGGCAGATCTCTGTGAGTTGGAGGCCAGCTTGGTCTACAGAATGAGTTCCAAACAGCCAGAGATACACAGAGAAACCCTGTATCAAAAAAAAAAAAAAAAAAAAAAAAAAAAAAAAAAAAAAAAATGAGCTGGAGCAGTTAAGAGCACTGGCTGCTCTTCCAAAGGTCCTGAGTTCAATTCCCAGCAACCACATGGTGGCTTACAACCATCTATAATGAGATCTGGTGCTCTCTTCTGGCCTGCAGGCATCCATGCAGGCAGAACACTGTATACATAATAAATAAATAAATAAATAAATAAATAAATAAATAAATAAATAAATAGATCTTTAAAAAAAGAAAGGAAGGAAGGAAGAGAGAATGAAAGAAGAAAAAAAGAGGAAGAAACATACTTCAACATCAAACATAGACATTTATACTTCAGAGTATAAAGTTAGAAAAAGATTTTCTAAGCAAATGGCCCCAAGAAGCAATCTGGTGTAGCTATTCTAACAGCTAACAAAATAGACTTCAAACCAAAATTAATCAAAAGAGATGGGAAAAGATGCTTCACCCTCATCGAAGATGACATTTCAATTCTCAACATCTATGCCCCAAATGCAAAGGCACCCACATTTGTAAAAAGAAACACTACTAAAGCTTAAATCACAATCAACTCTCACACATTAATATTGGAGACTTCAATATCCTATTCTCACCAATGGACAGGTCACCCAGACATAAACCAAACAGAGAAATACTAGAGTTAGCAGGTGTTGTGAACCAAATGGACCTAATACAAAAATTTTATACAAAAGAATATACCTTCTTCTCAGCACCTCATGGAACATTCTCCAAAACTGACCACATACTTGGTCACAGATAAAACAAAACAAAACAAAACAAAACAAAACAAAACAAAACAAAACAAAACAAAACAAAACAAAACAAAAAAACTGAAACACCCGCTGCATCCTATCAGACCACCACAGGTTAAAGCTGGATTTTAACAACAACAGAAACAACAGAAAGTCTACACACCCATGGAAACTGAACTATTCTATAATAAATGACTGTTGGATCAAGGCAGAAATAAAGAAGTAAATTACAGACTTCCTAGGAAAAAATGACAAGGAATGTACAACATACCCAAATTTATGGGACACAATGAAGGCTGAACTATGAGGAAAGTTCGTAGCACTAAGTGCCTTCATAAAGAAATTGGAGAAATCTTAGGCTAGCAACCTAACAGCACTTCTGAAAGCTCTGGAACAAAAAGAAGCAAACACATCCAAGAGGAATAGATGATAGAAAATGAACAAACTGAGGACTGAAATCAATAAAATATAACAAGAGAGAACAATGTGAAGAATTAATGAAACAAAGAGCTGATTCTTTGAGGAAATCAACAAGATAGACAAATCCTTATCCAAACTAACCAAAAGGCAGAGAGAGAATGTCCAAATTAACAAAGTCAGAAACAAAAAAGGGGATGTAACAACAGACACTGAGGAAATAATTCCATAGAATCATTAGGTCATACTTCAAAAACCTATACTCCACAAAATTGGAAATCTAAAAAGAAGTGTATGTGTGAGGGCTTTCTTGATACCACTTACTAAAGATAAATCAAGATCAGATAAACAATTTAAATAGATCTACAACTCCTTAGCAGTTTAAGATTTTGCTCATTCAGACAGAAAAGGCTAGAGATGCACAGTAAAGCAGGTTCAGACTGAAAAAAAAAATCTCTGGACAGGTTACAGTATTTTTTAAAAATATGCATAGGCTTTAGAAAAATGGATATAGACAATCATAGAAAATAGTAAATAGTTTATAAATAATTTAAAAAGAATAAGCCATGTAGAGATGGGAAATACACATCCTGTATGTTATTTCATTGATTTTGAATTTTTTTAATGCTGATGAGCAAGAGACAGCTGCTGAGAGACATGGGGTTGTGAAAGAGATTGGTGAATTAAACCAGCCTATAGACTTTTGACATGCTTTAACTTTAGAACGGAAGTCAAAAACTATATTGCTTTGGAGAAGAGGTCATGCTTTTGTTTTCACAGGAAACAAAACAAAGGGCTATGGGTTCATTCAAGATTGACAGAGATCAGGTTTGATCAGTGAGGAACCCCTGAAAATCCTGGCTACAGGTATAAAGAAATAAACCTAGAAAAATCACAACACAGGTGACATATATTTTACCTGCTCAAACATAAAACAAAAAATTATCTTTGGCTGGCTTGTGTATAATGCACATTCCATATTGTGTTAATGCAAATACGCATGCTATCTTTGAAAGTTTATGTGTTTTCAGAGCAAGGGGACCAGATACCATTGAAAATGGGTGGCCCAGGTGATCCAGACTCTTGGAGTGCCTCTATTGCAATTTACTCAGAGTTCTGCATACAGAACAACTTCAAGACCGCTGACTGAGATGGTCCAGCCTCACCGGCTATTCTAGCAAGGACTGCAGATAAACCCTGTGCTTTCCCATTTCACTGAGACTGGACAACAAATGTTATAACTGGTTTTCCCAGGACTCGATCATT